ATATGGAAAGTAAAGGTAACTTTGTCTTTTGTTCACATTTACCAGGAAAGGCTTAGTGGAAGACTACACCAGTCAAACAAAACAGCCAAGAAAACTATATTTGTAGGCAACTTTTTCTTCTTTTCACATTTACCAGCACCATTGATGGAAAAGCCACTGGAAAGTAAAGGCAAAGTCAACATGAAATGATGCATAAAGTGAGAAGAGATAAGAAGGAGAAGGATAAATGTTAACTTTAGTTTTTAAAATTTTAAGTTTCTATATAATTTTTGTTTTTTATTATATATATATATATTATCTTTTAATTAGAAAAAATATATTTTTAATTTTTTTATTAATTAATATAAAAAATATAAATTTTTTTAAATATATATTTTTAATCTCTTAATTTATAATAAATGTTTATTTTTTATCCTTTTAATTTAATTATTGGGTTTGGTACGTGGCCAAGGTCCACCCTAGGGGTGATGCTAAAGTCCTTATAGCTTTTCATTTTTTCCAATTTTAGATTCAATAATTTTTCATTTTTATTTATTAAACTCTGTGGCTTATTTCTTAAATCATTGGCCAGGACAAAGGGAAAAAGACAAAAGGAAAGAAAAAAGAAAACGAGGACAATAGATGAGTAGAAAATGGCATTATTAGGGCTCCATCCCCTTTTAGGGTTTGACATTATTGGCCAAGACAAAGGGCTAAGAAGGGACCCAGGCGTTCCCTTAAACCTTCAAAAAAGTTTAGATTTTTAATTTTTTTTAATTTTAACTATTTTCATCCTTATGCTTTTTAGTTTATCGTTTCAGTTCTACTCTGATTTGTTTATGCATTAGATTTTTTTGATTTCTTTTTTTATCGAAACGATGTTATTTTGGATGCTCCGGCCCTTTAGACAAGTGTGTTTTTATTATTTGGTTATTTTATTATGTGGATATAATTTTTATTCTCTGTCTATATATGATAGCAATTTTTGATTTAAAATTAAAAAAATCAAATTTTTTTTACGTTAAAAATGCCTTTAGCAAGCCTTGGAACTTTTCCAGTAGTTGTGCTTTTGTTCGATATTTGGTGTTGCTTTATTGTTTCTATTTTGTTTAAAGCTGGTATGGAACTCTAACCTTTCTATTAATATAATAGGTACATTCTGTTGGCCTAAAAAAAAAAAAAACAAATGGACTCCAAGTTGCCCAAAAAAATAAACAGAAAACAAAAATCAAAACAAATAGACTCCAGTTACAAGGACTAATAAATTTTAATTTTAATTTTAATTGTTGGGAATAATAATTTTGAATTGAATATTAATTAGTATATATTTTAATTCAATACGTTATAT